GATCATGGAAATGGAAGCGTTTTGACGCTGGAGCTCGAGGATGATGAGACTCGGAGGGAGAATGTGGCTAATGGCGCGAGTTCTTCACGCAGAGAGAAAGAAATGGCGAGTGGATTGGATGGTGAAGTTAGCGGCAATGGAGTAGCAGTAGCAACGATGGCGGTTCGCGAGCTCGAGGAATTTAAATCCACCAGTATTCTTGAGGAGGAGCTTGAGCAAGACGAGCCTTGGTTTCGAAAGGAGATCCAAGACAATGTCAAGGTAACAAAATCTGATTTTTCTAGCCATTCATTTGTTGAGGTTTATACTGTTCTTATCCGATGAAGGTTTCAGTCACTCCCGGTGGCCGATGGAATCGCTTCAAAGCTTATTCGACTTTGCAAAGATCATTGGAGATATGGGCCTTCGTTTTCTCGTTTCTTTTCAAGCAGTGGCTCCTTGGGCGGAAGTTCATGTACAAAGGTGGGATTTTTATAGTTCCAGAACTCGCCTTGGGAAGAAGTAGTGTTTATAATTTTCCTCAGGAGGGATAACGGAGGAAAAAAAGATGGAAAGACGAAAGCGTCTTGCGAAATGGCTAAAGGAAGGACTGCTGAGATTGGGACCGACTTTCATCAAGATTGGACAACAGTTTTCCACGCGAAGCGACATTCTTCCGAAAGAATACGTCGACGAACTCGCTGAGCTTCAGGTTCTCTACTGTGAATTCTCACTTTTGGATCAATGACACCGTCGATCGCAGGATCAAGTTCCTCCTTTTGAGTCGGAAGCCGCCGTGAGTATTTTGGAGGAAGAACTCGGTTGCTCCGTGGACCAGGTTTTCGAGAAGTTCGATCGTGATCCCATTGCCGCAGCAAGCCTTGGTATGAATTTATGTTCGTGTTGGTTATAAAGTCGTTGTTCTGTTTATTCGTTAAGGCCAAGTTCATCGAGCTGTTCTAAACGGAGAGCAAGTTGTGATCAAAATCCAGCGTCCAGGCTTGAAAGCGCTCTTTGACATCGATTTGAAAAACCTGAGAGTAAGTCTTTGCTTTACTTTTCTTTTTTGCTCGAACTGTCACCTTTTCTTCACTGGCAGGTAATCGCAGAGAACTTACAAAAGATTGATCCAAAGTCTGATGGCGCGAAGAGGGATTGGGTTGCCATTTACGATGAGTGTGCCAATGTGCTCTATCAGGTGATTTTTTCAAACGAAGAGGGAAGTTTTGATGTATGATGTTCAGTAATAGCTCTCTTCCAGGAAATCGACTACAACAGAGAAGCAGCCAATGCCGAGCGCTTTGCGGCAAATTTCAAGGATCTGAGCTACGTTAAAGTTCCAAGGATCTACTGGAAGTACACTACACCACAGGTGCCAAGTTTGTGATTTTTATCGTCCGGGTTGCGATGCATTGCCTTCGATAATAGGTACTTACCATGGAATACGTACCAGGAATCAAAATCAACAAAATCAAAGCCTTGGATAGACTTGGAGTTGATCGTCAAAGGTTTGTTTCACAGCCTTTTGTCCAAGGCAAAGCTCAACTATCTGGTGTTGTTCAGGCTTGCGAGATACTGTGTGGAGTCTTATCTGGAGCAGATTCTTCGTCACGGGTTTTTCCACGCAGACCCTGTAAGCCCTTTTTTTCTCTTGAGTTTTCTGGAGACCTTTTCATTTCCTCCTTGTTCCTTGTTTCATTCATGTTCTAGCATCCAGGAAATATTGCTGTGGACGATTTCAACGGTGGACGCTTGATCTTTTATGATTTTGGTATGATGGGAAGGTAAAGCAATAGCATGCTTAACTCTTTATCTAACGGTTCCTCGTATGTGTTTCCAGCATTAGTTCCAACATCAGGGAAGGACTTTTAGAAGCTTTCTATGGAGTCTACGAAAAAGATGCTGACAAGGTATTCGTTTCCTTTTGTGTATGTTCTTGCTTGTCATGTTGATTTTTCTCAGGTGCTTGAAGCAATGGTGCAAATGGGAGTGCTCGTACCGACTGGTGACATGACCGCAGTTAGACGAACAGCACAGTTCTTCCTGAAAAGGTTCAACTTACTTTCAGTCGCACACACAGAAACTTAACTTCGTCTCTTGGATTCCAGTTTCCAAGACCGTCTAGCAGCACAAAAAGAACAGAAAGCTCTTGCCGAGAGTGAGGAATCCGGCTACAAGAGGCTGTCTAAAGGGGAAAGGGAGGACAAGAAGAAACTCAGGCTGGCGGCCATAGGTACTACAGTTTTGTGAGTAACTCGGTATGCTCAAACTCCATTTTAGGTGAGGATCTACTATCTATCTCTTCGGACCAGCCATTCCGTTTCCCAGCAACGTTTACGTTTGTAGTTCGAGCTTTCTCGGGTAAGACTGCCTTTGTCCGTGATTTCCATGTCGTAAGCTTTTTGGTTTCAGTTCTAGACGGCATTGGAAAAGGTCTGGATCCTTACTTTGACATATCCGAGATTGCAAAGCCGTAAGTGAAGATAGCTTTCTTTTTCTTTCTGCCTCACCAGGTTTTTGTTCTTCGCAGGTACGCTTTGGAGATTCTAAGATTTCGTGAAGTTGGTTACGATGTTGTGATCCGGGTAAGTTGTTTTTTTATTCGCATTTCGTGTGCAAATGGGTGTTTCTTGTCAGGACTTTAAAAAGCGATGGCAACGACAAGCTGAAGCATTCAACAATCTCTTCAGGCAACCAGATAGAGTTGCAAAGCTCGCAGATGTGATCGAGAGATTGGTAAAGACACTGTTAAGTTTGAGGGAAAACTTCTTTCTTGCCTCTCTCTTCTCAGGAACAAGGCGATTTGAAACTCCGTGTGCGAACTCTGGAATCCGAGAGGTCCTTCAAACGAGTTTCAGCTGTACAACAAAACATAGCTCAGGTACCTACAGAAACAAACAAACAAGAAGCGAAGAAAAATCTTTTTTTTTCCTCTGTTGCAGGCCGTTTTCGCTGGCACATTCTTAAATCTGGGAACTCTGCTGTACATAAACGCAATGAGAGTACGTACTTTCTACAGATATCTTCCTTTGTTTTCTCTGCTCCAACATGGGCGATCGTTGTCAGGTCCAAGGCACAGCCGCATTTTTTTGTAGCGCCTTGTTTGGATTGAAGCTTCTGGTTGGACTTTTCAAGGTGAAGAGACTGGACAAGCAAGAAAAGCTCATCACTGGCACAGTGTAATAGAAAGAAAGACGCAAAGAGCAATTTTTTGGCACTCCTTTCACCTTGGCAAGAGAGCTGTGAAGAAAAGAGTAGCATTCTTTCCTATATAACCTTCCAAAGAAGAAAATTTGAGGCTAGGCTTTGATTATAGGGTACCTATGGGCAGCGATGAAGACGCCGCTCGGCTCAAGGCGGCGATGGAATCGTCGGGCGCGGAGCTCATCTGCGATCCTCCCCAGGTGCGCGGGATCCGCGTCGCCGGCTGGCGCATTCGATCCACCAAGCGCGCCATTCTCAACGCCGAGCAGATCGAGAGGTTTGGGAGGGCATTGGATTTCTTCTTTGTTGTTCTTGAGAGATTTTGGGAGGGTTTTTATGGCGCTAGGTGGGAGGCGAAGCTGGGCACCCGGCATTTGCCCGAGATGGTGTTTGGAGGCAACGAGCTGGAGCTAGTGCACGAAGCGAGCGGGATCGCGATTTCTTTCAATGCTTTCGATGCTCTTGCGGGGTGGAAGAGGGAGAACCTGCCGCCGGTGGAGGTTCCAGCCGCGGCAAAATGGAAAATGCGATGGTATGGAATCGCATTCTTCCTCTTGCTTTTTTTTTCCTGGTTCTTAGATTTCTTTCTCGATTGTTCTGTGAAGCAATCCAAACGAGCAGCTGATCATGGACTACGACTATACGTTCACGACGCCTTACTGTGGAAGCGAGCGCCTTGTTCTTGAGGTAAAAATCTTTCACATCTTTTGAATGGAGGGAATCACAAGTTTTTCTTGCTATTTCTTACTTCTTTCACTTCTTTCACAGCAAGAACAAGCTGATAAGGAGTCAAGTTTGGCGACTTTGGAGTGGAAAAGTTGTGACACTCGAATCGATCTTATCCGGCTACAAGTGAAGGATCCGATCTTGTTTTACGACGAGGTCTTTCGTCTGGTTTCTCTGTTCTTAAGAGCTCACCATAGTTTTTTTCTTGTTCTTCCAGGTGATTCTATACGAGGACGAGCTTTCAGACAATGGTATCTCGTTTCTCTCCGTGAAAGTGGTAATGCCTCTTCGTTCCTTTGGATCGATTCTAACTTTGGCTGCCTCGTTACAGAGAGTAATGCCGAATTGCTGGTTTTTGCTGCTTCGATTCTGGGTATCGCTTTACATACTTGTTCTTCTCGAAAGTTACTGACGCCATATCTTTGCAGCTCCGTGTGGATGGAGTTTTGATGAGACTTCGCGACACACGCATGTACTCCGGCTTCCAAAGCGACCCTCGAGAATTCCCGGATATAATCCGCGAGCGATCTCAAAGGGAAGAAACCTTTCGCGCACTCTTACTGGTAGATCGATCTGGAAAAACTTTCCAAGCTTTCACTGATCCTTTCTCTTCTGGAATTCCTTCGTTTTTCCAGAAAGGCCAGTTAGAACCATCGCTGTATCAAGACCCCAACATTGTGGGAGATCGATTGCCAATTCGCGACCACCACCATGAGAAACTTCACAAGGTACTCCACAGGAAAATAGAAGCAACCATTTAATAGAGCTCGTTTAAAACGTGTACCAGCGACCACGATTTTCCGCCATAGAATTAAACGGCCAGGATGAGAGGGGGACAGAGAAGCCCTAGTAGCGCGCCAGAGGAGCGAGAGAGAAGGAGAGCGATAGCGCGGGGTCCGATCGATCGGATTGGGGGAGAATTCGCAGGTGTTCTTCCGGATTATCAGGTTTTGGCAGTGAAATGAGGCCTGGAGGAGGCGGAGGATCTCCCTTCAAGGTAGTTCTTCTCGGAGACGGTGAGTTCTTCCTTCTCTTGAGCGTTTTGTGACGAATTCAGCTGGCGCTAATGCGATTTCGTGGTGGAATTTCTTCTCCAGGTAGAGTCGGGAAGACGTCTCTCGTCCTGCGGTATGTGAATAATCAGTTCTCCGATAGTCAAAGTGCTACGATACAGGCTTCCTACTTGACCAAGCGCTTGAGCGTCGATGGCGCTGTAGCAACGCTATCGATCTGGGTAAAGTTCTTCGCTGCTACGATTTGAGTGATGGTGGAAATAAAATTTTTTTTCTCTCTTCCAGGACACAGCAGGCCAGGAACGCTTTCATGCGCTTGGTCCTATTTACTATCGCGATGCTGATGGTGAGTACAAGTTTTTTTTCTCTTTCCAGTACGAGAACTACAGTGTCTTGGTTTTTGTTCTTGGTTTTTTTTTTTCCTTTGTAGGTGCATTGCTAGTCTATGACATAATGGATAGAGATAGCTTTACTCGTGTGAAGAATTGGGTGAAGGAGCTCCGGAAGATGGCGTCCAACAAGAACATTGTCTTGACAATTGCTGGCAACAAGAGCGATATGGACAAGTTGCGACAAGTTGATCTCCAGGATTCTGAGAGGTACGACAGTGTTTCGTTTCCTAGTTGATAGTGTTCACTCGGTTGGATTGCTTCTAGATACGCTGCCTCGATTGGAGCAAACCATTTCGTGACCTCTGCAAAGCTAAACACTGGCATAGACGAGGCCTTCATGGACATCGCGACACGTAAGATCTTTAGAAGTTTGCTTGTTTTCGTTCTCTCACTGTTTGTTCCTTGGCAGGTTGCCTGGAACAAAGAAGAAAAAGCACTGCCGCCTCGAGCAATGGCAGCACGCCGGCTTTCTCTCAGAGAAAAAGCGTGGTCATTGTGGATGATCAGCCCCCTCCCCCTCCTCCGTCGAGATGTTGTTCTTGACACGGTAAAATTGTTGGTTTGTACAAACAGGTCAGGCCAGTGTTTACAAATTCCCAGGGATTTTTTTTTCCATGTAAATTCTCGCGCTCTACTTATCCATCATCCGTTTTCACAGAGGTAGCACGTCTCCTACGCGCCTCCAGTGCTCTAGCAAGCTTCTCGTCCCCGGTGGCTGCGTGGATATTTGCCAGAACGACGTACGGCGAAGACGTCTCTGGATTGAGCTCCGAGGCCTTCTCAGCAGCCAGGATACCTCTCTCGGCATCCAGATGCGTCTCGCAGGCACTGAGCAGCGTCATCCAGGCAACATAATCAGCGATGAAAGGCATTGACTCGATAAGTTCCTGGGCCTGGGCCAGCCGCCCCGCTCGCCCCAGTACGTGAGCCATTCCGATATAGTGATCCAGCAGCGGTGCGATGCTGTAGTCGCCAACCATGGAGGCGAAGAACGAGCAAGCGTCCTCGACCAGTCCAGCGTAAGCCGCTCCAGCCAGAACGTTGATGTACGTGATCTCGTTTGGTTCCAGGCCTTGAAGCTCCATCTCTTGGAAGAGCTCCAGCGCTTGGTCCCGGAGGCCGTTGTGAGCATAGGCGGTGATGATGGCCGTCCAGAGGACCAAGTCCCGGCAAGAGATGCGATCAAACAGGCCCCGAGCTTCGTCCACGCAGCCGGATCTTCCATGCAAGTTGACGAGCGCAGTGACCACCATAAGATCCGATCGATGAGGGGTGTCCTGGACGATGCTATCGACGAGCTTGGCCAGGGATGGAGTCGGGGACGCCGCACAGGCATCGGCTAGAGCGATCAAAGTTACGGCGTTGGGTTGGATCCCGTCCAGGTCCATGAGCTGGAAGAGACGAAGAGCTTGCTTCGAATGCGAGCTCCGGCCGTAAGCTCCAATCATGGTGGTCCAGGTGACGACGTTCTTAAGCGGCATTCGATCGAACATCTCCCGGGCTTCTGACAAGCGGTCGTTTTTCACGTAGGCCAGGATCATGGTCGTCCAGGAGACGACGTTCTTGTTTGGTATCCGGACGAAGAAATCTCTCGCTTCGTCAAGATGCCCCCTCTCGGCAAATGCGGCGAGCATGGCTGTCCAGGAGACTACATTCTTATCGGGCATGGCCTCGAAAAGGTGGCGGGCTTTGCAGACTTCCCCGAGTTCTGCGTAGGCGGAGATTAACGCGTTCCAGGAGACCTGGTTCTTCTTGGGCATTTGGTGGAAGAGTTTCTCGGCGAGAACAAGATGCCCGTTCTGGGCATATGCAGTGAGCATGGTGTTCCACGAGACAACGTTGCGCTGCGGCATTGTTTCAAAGATCTCCCGCGCTTGCTCGAGCTGGCCGTTGATGGCGTAGGCAGCGGCCATGATGTTCCAGGTGAAGATGTTGCGGTGGCGGAGGGAGTCAAACACCGCGCGAGCGTCGCCCAGGCTGCCGCATTTGCCGTACATGTCGATGGCAAGGTTGGCGAGGAACCTGTTCGTGGGCTGGCCGGAGGCGATGATCTGAGCGTGGATCCGGCGGCCCTGCGACAGATCTCGTGATTCGGCGCAGGACCGCAGCTTTTCCGCGAACCAATCTTGATCGTAGCATAGTTCCAAAGATGGCATCGCGTCAACTTCATCGTACGGTCCCTCGTTTTACTTGCATGATCTTATGCCTTGCGTACTTGACCCGAACGTTTTTGTACCGATCGAGGTAGATCGAGGTAGGCCTAGAATCTGGAAACATTGCGTGTGGCCATTCTTATGTGGTGTCACCCTCTATCTAGCCGCGGTATAGACCCCTATTTCTTTCCGTACGGCTTTGCGAGCTTGAGAAAGTTGACAGGGTTTTTGCTTGACGAAGAGGTGTTAACTCCATCTTGGATCTTCTTTTTTTTCAAACTCCATCTCTTATCTTCTTGGACGACTTGATTGGCTTCACCGAAAGCATGAAGGTCATGAAACTCACACCAGTCATGATAATCAAGCGCCATCTTTTCTACGTGATCGATCGATCGATCGATCTGGTTTTAAACTATTCCGTGTGTGTGAGAGAGAGCGGGGGGGAGACTTGTTCTTGGAGAAAAAAAGAGTATTAAATAAACTATAAAATAAAATAAGATAAAATAAAATCTTGCAGGAGTATATTGGAGGCCCACCTTTGAAGAATTCCAAGAACTCGTTCGATCAACAATGCAAACTCCCTTATCGATTCCAGCAGTACACTCAATCACTCTTGTTGCTTGCTCCCTAGAACTGGGAATCTTCAAGACAAGCTTGTAGCCTGTCTAGAGCTTGTCTAGTCGAATGACTTCCAAGGTTTCATCTTTGTGCACGAAGTCTCGAGCAACCGTGTGCCCTGGAACTTCTCAAAACAAAAAAGGACAAACGCTCTTTTCAACTCGGCCATGGAATGGATCAAGCACTCATCCTCAAAATTCTCATATCTTTAGAATGCTTCCCGGAAATCTCTTTTTTAGAATGGTTCCAGCTGAAAGGTGGTGTAAGCATGATCTATACCCCCAAATCTTTCGGTGTATCCATACCTCTCGTTTCTTTCCTGGAAAGAGATTCCTCGGCGTGTTTGCTCATCTCATCGTCCAGATCCCAAAATCCTTCTTCTTCCACTCTTTTCTCTCGTCTCCATTTGTGTGTTGTTTGTTTCCATGTGAGATGCTCGCGTATGTTTCGCTAACGCGCAACCAAAGCTCCACCATGTGAGAGGAACCTTGTAAAGTCCATAGATTATTTCGTCCCAGTCGTGCATTCGCCACACCCTGGAAGCATCAGCATCACACTGGCTTCGCTTGGCCTCCATCTCCAAAGGTCAACTCCCAAGTAAAAATCACGCCCATGTCCACTGTCCAACCTTTCTTCCCTGGTTATTTTTTTTCCACTCCTTCCCTCCTGCGGCCATAAACCAATTTACAAGTCACTCCCAAAGCGAAAGAGAGAAATACTAAACAAATACCACATCGCTGGGATGCGTGCTAAGAAATATACAACATAAATACCTTAACGATGTGGAGCAAATGCGTAGTGGCAGCCTATCCTCCTCATTGTCAACCCATCTCCAAGTTTTCTTCACTTTCTTAATTCCCAGTAAAGAATATTTTTCTTCTTCTCCTCCTTCTCTCCGGTTTTTCCATCTTCGCTGTGCCTGTCCGCAGAGAGGAGCCAAGAGGGTCAACTAGAACAGCTTGGCAGTGCTTTACTTCTTGTGTACTTTGCTTCCTCACGCACACTTCCCCACCGGCGCTGCCGACTCCGATGAGCCAGTGTCTGGATATCTAGCTCCAGGAGCGAGAAAGCGAGAGAGTTCTCTCGAGCGGCGCTGCTGCTAGATCGCCGCTCCTCGTATATATTCCTCCCCCCCCCCCCCCCCACCTGCCCGCAAATACTTCATCCAGTTCTAGTTTTCCCATCTCTTCGCTGTAAGAGCCTCGAAGCTTGGGAAGCAGGAAGATCGAAAGCGCCTCTCTTACCTGAAAAGGATATATTGATGATCTTTACCTCGGCAAGGATCCGGAGCGGGATTGGTAAAACAGATGAAGCTCCACCGGGACAGGAATGCACTGCACTGCAAGGCACAGTCTCCGCGAAGAATTCGTCAAGCACTGTAGTAAAGGGGAGCATCAGTTACAAAGAATTGATAAAGGTACTTACTTCCTTCTCACATGTTCATTCTCCCTCCCAGCAGGAACTTACGAAGCGATTGATTGCGAAGTGCTTCAAAAGAAATTCTCCAAATTTCGTGTTTTTCTCACCACCGGCGCCTCTCTGGATGTGCAGGGACTGTGATCGCAAAGAGGGCCCATGTCTGGATGTCAAAAGAGTGGTAAGTCGCTCGATCCAGCAGCGTAGCTCTTCCTTTTCTCGTTGCAAAGCGGAGGAGAGAGAACAAACTTTGCAAGAGTAGCCTTACAGCTTTCCTCTCCCCAAGTTCTCTCCAAGTTCTTCTTTTGCTGCGAGATCCTGAGAGATCCCGAGAGAAGTTAGAGAACAGGAGAGAGAAAGCAGCTTTACCCGAGAGATGGTGATCTAAACTGCCGTGCTCCAGGGAGAACATCAGCAACGTCGGAGGAAGAGATCCCCAGCGCCAAAAGCCGAGACTGCAAGAGTTACAGCGCTATCACCACCACGGCAGTACTAGCAGCCAGCAGCAGGATATCGGTCGAGGCAGGAGTAGCATGCTGGGGTCGCAGGGCCCTCTAAACACGATCACGCCCTGTGCTGCATGTAAGCTTCTCCGCCGGAGGTGCGCTCAAGAGTGTCCCTTTGCACCATACTTCTCGCCACACGAGCCTCAAAAGTTTGCCGCCGTCCACAAAGTTTTCGGCGCCAGCAACGTCTCCAAGATGCTCTCGGTACGTGATCAATCATCCCTCTTCTCTTCCCGTGGCAATCCGAGCACCACTATTCCATTGTCTTTCTAAGTGGTACTCTTTTCTCTTTCGGAGTGTGCTTTCTGAGATGCGTCTTGTCGTTTTGATGGTTGCTAGATTGCTGAAAAGACAGACTGTGGGGACAAAAAGGAGCTCAGAGTTAGATGATGCCTGCTAACATAAGTTACACTAAAAGTTCCAAGTTCTAACCTTTGATGAGCTTGTCACTGGTGTGGTTCTTGCAGGAAGTTCCAGAGGCCCAGCGATCGGACGTTGCCAACAGCCTGGTGTACGAGGCAAACGCTCGGATCAGAGACCCAGTGTATGGCTGCACGGGGACGATATCTGCACTGCAGCAGCAAGCTCAGTCACTCCAAGCGGAAGTTAATGCCATGAGAGAACAGATTATGAGATACCAGGTGCACGAAAACGCCGTAGCCGCGGTCACCTTGGTCACTACCGGGCTTCCCACACGGACAAACCCCGGAAGCTCGTCGGCAGACTATGTCGTAGGAACGAGCGGCAGTGTGGACAATCCTGACGTCAAGGAACGCTACTGGTGAGACAAGCCCATGAACAACAAGAACAAAGCCACAGAGACACAGATCAGAGTAAATTTTCTTCCTTTAAGATGCTCGATTTTTTTGTATATCAGGAAAAATAAGGCCTTTCTCACTTTCTCCCGAGGGAGACTCTCCATAAAATGCAAGAAGACATTAAGAGGATCAACAAGAAACCAGGCAAAAGTGCAAACGAGAGAGAAAGGAGAAAGGCATCGTTTGTTTCACTTCACACGACTTTGCTGCTTATTAAAATCCGGAAGAGAGAGAGAGAGAGAGAGAGAGCGTAGCTCACCTTTTTAAAGCTTGATGCGCCTGGCCATGATCCGGCACGCAGTCATCTGTGCATCAAATGTCCTCGTCAGGAACTCTTAAAGAAGTACAGCGAAAGCAAAGAAAACACTTAAAGAAATATAACTATACCCACCAATGCGTCCACGAGCACTGTAGCTGAAGGCGCGCGTTTGTCACACTTTGACCTGTTGATAGCTGCACCAGTGATGAAGAATTAAACAACACATAAACACGTCATATAACCACGATCATCAGCATAAACAAAGCAAGCAAACAAAAAAAAAAACGATAGACAAAACATAGTTTACTTCTTTCTTATCAAAGAAAGGCTCGCGAGAAGTTTCTCCATGAGAAACTCTTAACACCATCCTGTCAACACTATCAAGCCATAAGTAAAGAAAGAAAAACGACGCTCTCCCGCAAAGACCCAAGAAAAAAACGAGAGAAAAAAAAAACGAGGTATAGTACGAAGCTACAAAATAAAAAAAATAGTAGAAAGGAAAACTTTCGAGCTCCCTATACCAAAGAAGAAAGTATAGAACTTGGCTATGGAAGCTCCAATCCTCTTCTTCTTCCTCTTCCTCTAGCTCTCGCTCTCTCTCTCTTTTTTTTCACTCCCCTCTCCCCCCTCGATCGAGACTCTCTAAGTCTGAGCAGCGGAGTTTAAGATGCTGGACATGGTTCCCAGAACCATGAAAGCCAGCAAGGGACTCAAGTCGAGCGCGTTAAACACTGGCGGGATGATGTTGCGGAAGAGATTGAGGTATGGATCACACATATCCCTGATCGCCATGAAGGGCTGCTTCTCCCAAGGGATGTTTGGAAACCAGCTGAGTAGCACCCGGATCATCATCACCGCGCTGTAGAGCTCCAGCCACTTGGCCATGCCCGACGCCACCACTGTGAGTGGCGTAGAGACTGTGGACATGGACGCGAAGAAGAGAGGGCCGCCCTTGGTCGCCAAAAAGAATGGCACCGCCGCCGCGTTACTGCTGCTAATGGCGCTGCTGCTGCTGGCGGCGAGGCTTTGGAGAGCCGAGCTGGTGGCGTGAGCCATGGATTTGAGGAGCACTGGCAAGAATGCGAGCGGTGTCGGTGGAGGAGCTGTGTGGAGGAGCGATGATGCTGCCGCTGCCGCTGCCGCTGGAGAGAGTGCCGCTGGGATTATGTGTGGCCGGCGCCTGTTCCATTGGAGCTGTGGAGGGACTGGGGAGGCTACCTGGATGCGGAGGGAGGATGCCGACGCCATCGCCATTGCTTTTGACCTAATCGAATATGCTTCGAAAATGGGCAATTTAAATTTTAAGGCATAAAGACACTAAGACATTTTGATAAATAAAAAATTTGAAGATATTCTTAAAACATGAATCCACTTTTTCTTTTATTTTTTATTTTCTATTTTGTTTTGTCGGGCAAAATAAAGCAAGAAGTCATATGGTTGATGCTAAAGATGGGATGTCTCTTTGGGTATCTTGTGCCACGTTTATTGGGCTGTGGATGTTTTAGTTTTGATTATTTGCTTTAGGATAACTAAGTCTTCGTTTGCATGCAAACTATGTGCCTCGGAAAGAAATAAACACCAATACCTATCAAATATCCTTGAACTTTGTTAATGTCCCCTTAAGTTGGCTTTCATCTTTTAGCATAGAAATTCAGAAATTTTAAAATCCATGGCTCCCTTTAAAACCAAAGGAATGGAATCACTTACAAACTTTGCAGCGGCAGCAGCGCAATCGCTCGGGTTCTGGAAGCTCTGCCAGGCGGAGCCAGCATACTTTACCACCAAGTTGCATTTCTAGCCTGGACTCTCCGCTTGGTCATCTCTGTAGAGCGCCAAGTTTCCCTCTGCGGTCAAGCTGAGCATACCACGGCATACAACCTGCGCGCTCTGGTCCTGGGAGAGAGTGCTTGAGACAGTGCTTGCAGGTGGCTACCGAGAGGACAATGCCCGAGGAGGAGCAGTCGAGTATCCATGTCGAGTTGAGGGGTGTTGCGTCTAGATTCTGCGTGGAGTGGAGCTGAAAAGTTTGCTGAGCAGATACTTCACCAACGCGTTTGGCTTGAGGAGCTCGCTAGCTGTCAAAGACATCAGTACTGTTGCTAACCTTGTCGAAAAAATAGTTTAGGAACGAAACGTAAGTTCCAGTTCCTCGTAGAAACAAGCTGGCGACGTGAGACAGAGATTTAACTTTTATGTTACCTGAAGATCTCGTGAAGTTTCCTGGTTCCTAGTTACCAAGGGGAACACAAAGCTACAAAGGAAAGTACCTCCCCAAAGCTTGCAGAAGCCTGGCGCGGTAGTTGCGTGGATGGATGATACAGTGTTCAAGAACACGCTTCCTGATGTCCTCCTCCGTCATGACGCATCCAAGGAGCTCCCGAATCCAATCCATCACAAGACCTCGGATGATCCGAAAGTTGATTCGAATGTGTCTGTAGGCATTCCTCCGAGAAAACGTGGTAAGGTAGTCGATTACGGAAACAAAGATGTGCTCCTCATCGGTCTGGAAGACTAGAACCGAATAATCCGTGAGGCCCTGTCTCTGCAAAAAAAAAACAAGCAAAACAAGCAAAACAGTCGTAAATGAATCAAGCAAGGATGTTTTCCAGCTTACCTGGAGGAAGTGCGTGTCCCGCTCAATCAAACAAAACAGCATGCGGTGAGAGAAACTTGTCAGCAGCAAAGGCGTTGTGAAATAGGCATCGCTCTCTGGAACACTGTACTTGATGAACCCCTTGAGATCATGGTGTATCGTTGTGGCTTGAAGAAAGCTCCTGGGAGGATCTGTGGCCTCAATGACAAGGACGTTCAAACGTTCGCTCTCGCTGAAGGTCATCGGTGCGGGCCAGATCTATGACACGAAAAGCAATATGAGAAGTGCTTTCGAACTTTTTCAAGTGTTTATACCTCGTAAGCGCCCAGTATTATCGCGAACGATGTCTCCAGCTGCTGGGTGTACAGGAAGTAATCTTCTGCTATTCGTCGCAGCGCACTCATATCACGGTGAGAAACCAGCTTCACGATGACTCGCTCGCTGGCAGTGGTGAAAAACTTCGCTCCACTCCTAGAGCTGGCCATCGTCCTCGGGCGTGCGGTGTTCAACGTTTCAACAAACTCCTTGTCATCCTTGAAGCCATGAACTTCCCGTAGAGTGCGAAACTGTGTGGGAAAGAGAACGTTGACGAATCCATCGATGCCCCCGAACGAGTACTCTGGCTTGTCCCCAGGAACTTGGTGCGTAAGGTACTTCGTGAGAACGGGAAGCCACTGCGGTGGGGGAGTCTGAAAACGAAAGTTTACGTGAGCAGTGAGCAGTGAGTGAAGTTCCAAATCAAACCAAATGTACGCTGGTAGAGTTCTCGTTCACGATATTCTTCTGAAGGCGCTTCATCGCGCGGATCTGTTTGGGGAACACAGCCGTGACGTTGCCACTGCAATCAGCATAGAAACGAATCCGCATAGGATCGGCATAAGAAATCACGGGAAAGCTTGCAATCTCGACGAGTTAAATCTCGAGAATCCGCGTTAGGACCGGGATAAGAAGCAAGAAACCACTGGAAAGCTTGCAATCGGGATAAGAAGCAAGAAGTCTGTGGAGAAACAAAGTAGAAACCATGAATCGGGACAGCTCGGGGTCTAGGAAACGAGAAAGCACTAGAAAGCTTGCAATCGGGACAGGAAACACGAAATCTCTGGAGAGACAAGCGTCGAGAATGCATAATCACCATGAATCGAGAGAGAATCGGCAAGAAAGCTTGCATACCTCGCCCGAGACGATGGATCATGACAGTATCGCGTAGGCTCCCTGGCCATTGCCGCGTCGAATGCGACGCTGAGCAAGAATGGCGCAATCGCGACGCAGACGATCGCCATCGCGCAAACCATCGCCAGCGCCATCGCTCCGCAACCAAGGCATGCAAAATAAAACCCAAATTTCAAACGATGGATGGTACAAGTTAGCGCCAAAACCCCAAACGTACGGAAATGGGCCAATGCTAAAATTAGTGGACGTTTTTAGGGTTCTTCGCGAGAGAGAGGGATGGATTCCAAGGTGCTACACCTTGTGCGCCATGGCCAGGCCTTCCACAACGTCCAAGGTGAGATTCTACTGCAAATGAGGAGCTCCTGGAAGATTTTCCTGGACGGGAGATGGCGGCGCCTCACGCTCAAGCACATCTTGAGGGCTTTTCGATGCCTGTGGCTTCTCTTGTGCTGCATCGTTTCCCCAGCGCCTCCTCGTCCCTCCTCCTCCCCAGCTGCTGTGATGCCCATTTACTACGAGCACGCCGACGCGAGCCTCACGGCTACTGGATGGGAACAAGTAAGTCCTTTCCTTTCCCTTTGCTCCATTCATTTGGTAAATGATCGATCGCTCTCCTTCAAGGCTGAGTTTCTTCACAGGGAATTCAGGATTTCCGGATTGAGAGACCGAGTGGAGCTTGTTGTGGTGTCGCCCTTGACTCGGTAGTGTGATTTCTCCTCTCGAGAACTCTTCTAAGTTTGCCTTCCAGGACGCTCCAAACTGCATCTGGGATCTTTGGAGGAGGGAATTTCACTGATACCACTGATCAACTAGCAGCTCCTCTGATGGTAGACAACGTTGGACGGTGTCCACGACCAGCCATCTCCAGTGCAAACTCCCCTCCTTTCGTAGCACTGGAGCTTTGCAGGGAGAAATTGGTATGTTGGCTCTCCCATATTTTTTCTCTCTGTCAATGTAGCTAGTTGACGCGAAGTTTTGATGAACAGGGTACCATGCCATGCGATCAGAGGAGTCCCAGGAGCAAATCCGAAATTCAGTTTCCAGGGATTGGCTTTTCGAACGTAAGGATCATTCGACTCGATCGAGTTGTGTGACTTGATCCAACTCTGTTTCTCTTCTCTATCAGATCGAACAGGACCAGGACGAGCTGTGGAAGCCTGACAGAAGAGAACTAGAAGAGGAGCTCGACAAAAGGGCGAGAGCTTTTCTAGAATGGTACGTGGGCAGTCTGCGAAAGCTGTTGTAAGTTTCTGATCAAGCTTGCAGGCTATGGAGTCGTGGAGAGGAGGAGATTGCCGTCGTCTCCCACGCAGGCTTTCTGACCAACCTTGTGACAAAGTTTGGCAACGAAGCTGTGAACAAGACAGTGTAAGCGGCGTGTTTGGATGCTAGATTTGCTTGGTACTTACACTTGTGCGATTTAGGTTTGCGAACTGTGAGCTTCGTAGCGTGAGATTGAGGTGAGTCATCGTAGTTTTGTTCTCGAGACCTTAGATCTTGGCGTTTTTTTGCTCAGGAAAATAGTCACGGGCTCGGACTATGCATTTGAGTTGACCGCAGCGTGAATCCATCCAAAGTGAGCCATGGATTCTAAAAGAAAATCTTCTTTTCCTAACTTTATATTGAGAATCTAGCATCCTCGTCCCGCCAGGAAAATGCTCGGACTATGCATTTGAAGAGACTGCAGCGTGAATCCATCCAAAGCGAGCCATGGATTCTGAAAGAGTTCTTTTGCTAACTTCAAGCTAGAAGCTTGAAGTTATTATTCATGTAGTCAATCTTAAAACGTATCTATATTTAGCTAGGGCAAAGTTAATATAGCGGCAGAAAATAATTTAAAATAAATTTAAGGGAGGGGATATACCTTATCATGTAATAGGTAGAAAATAATTAAATAATTTACTATAACAACGATTGGTTTGTTTAATAGTATTGTTATTCCTACTTATTAATCTAATTGATCAAATAAAAATTTATAATTATAAAGATGTTTATAATTTATAAACACAAGATTAAGATGGTAGAATAAAAAATAATATACTAGAAAGTATTTAAGAAATTTTATAAATTATAAACATAAATACAAGATTAATCTTAATAAATAACAACTGTTAGATGGTAAAATATCCTAGAATATTCAAGAATATTCTAGGTATATTCACTACCATCCCAAAAGCTCTGTTGGGCCAAGATAAATAAATCTTCTTTTCTAATTTTAGAATGTTAGAAATTTTTATTGTATACAAGATTAAAATTATATAAACTTTGCTACTATTCATCTCTAGAGTAATGCACAATAATGCAATTAGAGAATAATGCATATGTTGGGGAAGTTAAAATCATTTTTCATCATCATGAAATTTAAATTTGAATTTGTTTTTATTGCCTTTCCAAAAAGGTACAAAACCCTAAACATATCCACAAGATTGGTGCCAACCTTTTAAAACAATTGAGTTTTCACAAAATCAAAGAATTATACCAAAGAATAATAGGTTTTATAACTGGTTTGGTGAAGTTATAATTTAATTGTGTACTGAGTTAACTTCTTTACTATCTGAATTGTAATGATGCCTTTAACATTCATAGTTTACTAAATAATAATAGAATTTCTATTATGTATACCCTTATTGTCGTAATCTATATGATTACATAGTGTGATAAAATTATTATAAAACTATTGATTTTATATCAAATTATAATATGCAGAAAGATATAGCATACCTAAAATAAATAAATCTTCTTTTCTAATTTTACAATTTTTAAATTTTAATTTTTATTGTATACAAAGTTAAATTTATCTAAAATTTTCTACTATTCATCTCCAAATAAATGCACAATAATGCAAATAGATAATAATGCAAGTGTTCAGGAAGATAAGATCATTTGTTATCATCATTAAATTTGGATTTGATGTTTTTATTGCTTTTATAAAAATGTTCACAACCCTAAACACATCTACAGGATTGCTGCCATGCTTTAAAAGCAATTGAGTTATCACAAAAACAAAGAATCATAGACTACCAATAATAATAGGTTAGTTTGGAGAAATTATAATTTTAATTTATCTGAACTGTAATGATGCATAGTTTACTAATATGATCTGAATTTCTTCTGGTTTTACATTTAGAAAACATACATAAGATGAATACATAACCAATTAGAAAAAAATGTGCATTCTTATTTAAAAACCTTTTCCCTTTATATTTGAACTTCTATATAATCATCTTTTGAATTGTTCTTTTTTGTTGCATATAACTCACTATACATTTTTGCAAATTCATGCCCTCATGAATAAAAGTTAATAACCATAACTTTCCTATAGCAAGGATCCATGCTCTGCTGGGAATGTATCTTGGTTGGCAAATTTATTATGGAACTTAAGATGGTTTAGAATATTTGTCATTTGGATATCATGCCATGAGAGATAGCAATGAGTAGTTTATTTCAAAGATAAACAATTATTAAATTTTCCATACATTCTATATATTTTATAGACCAGTTTTAAGTCATTTTAAAATTGTAGTGTGGAGTCAATTAAATATAAGTATGTAGCATCAAGTGTTTTTAATTTACATTTTGCTGTTAATTGTGTCAAACTTTTTTCTTTAGTTGTGTGTGTATAAAGGACCTAATACACCTAGCTTGGCTAGGTAATACACTAATTATAGTACTATAGCATATGGACCATCCATTCTTGTATATAAGTAGGGGTCTAAACCCCAATTAATATACCTATTTCTACATCCTGAGCACTCACAAGATAATTTTAAGGGAGAGGATATACCTTATCATGGAATAGGTAGAAAATAATTAAATAATTTACTATGCTTTACATGTAACAATGATTGGTTTGTTTAATAGTAATGTTATTCCTATAAAATTTATAATTATAAATATGTTTATATATTATAAACACAAGATTAATCTTATTGCATATCAACCATTAGATGGTAAAATAAAAAAGAATATACTAGAAAGTGCTGAAGAATGTTTATAAATTATAAATACAAGATTAATTTAAATGAATAACAACCAAAACTATATAAATATAAATTTGAAGGTATAAGGAATATACTTTGTATAGTTTGGTATATATATTAATATGTGCGAACTAGATAAAAAAGTTCCTTTTCAAATATCACAAAGACCTTTCCACACATATCTCACCTCACTTCCATCAAATCTGTCTACAACCCATCTAAACATGATTATCCTTTTGAACAACACCTTCAATCTCTCCATCCCTTTATGTAGTTAGCTTAGGGTATAAAACATAAGATCCTAATAAAGTGAATTTTGCAAGCTCTTCCTTGATCAACCATTTCTGTGACCTTTTGCATCCTCTTTTAGATCCTATGTAAAGAATCAACTCCTTGAGATATTGTAAACTAAATGATCCCTCGAAATCATGATCAAAATGATAAAGAATTTGCTAGATGAAACCAAGTTTAGGACTGAGTTGAAGACTATGTCTGAAACCCTGAGACTTGAGATCGGGTCCAAGATCAAGTCCAAAATTAAATCCAAGATTGAGTCTAAATACTAATATATGTTATAGAGTGAAAGGGGGCATTATAGATGTTCCAAAAGTATAATAAAAATAGTGAAGATAAAGACTTAGCTTTGAAATGAACTCTCTAGTGCCCCTCAAAAAAGTGCTTAAGAGTAAGTCTTATTCCCAAAAGGGAAACCAACTACATTGCTCATAACTTAGGTGGAATGGTGCCTCATTTGAGTACCATATGGCTCATTGGTCTTTGCCCCTTTCTAGGGGATTGAATAATAAGGGTACCCATACCATGCTATTAAGCCACAATGTTTCCCCTTGGGATCTTAAACTAAAAAATGCATATGAGATTTGAGATTGAAAAGGTTTTATGAATAAATCTTATTGTACTAATGGATGTCAAAAACTTGAAAATTTGGTGTTCTTAGTTGTTTGTGTCTATGGGGAGTGTAGTTGAACTTTAAGTTTAGTTTACTCTAGGAAAGGAAATTGGGAGAGAGTTTGGGAAATTGGAAAAGGAAAATTTGTGGTTTACATTTTGTTAATGATTTATATTAAAACATTTTACCTTACAAGTAAAGATCACATTAACCTTTCCAAAACAAGATTGAAGTCTCTCCAAACTCTTGTACACAAGCACCAAATTCTTCTCACTCCATTTACTAATACCAGAATAGAAAGATTGATTGATCCTTCCATTGTATTTTGTACCGAAGTCCCATAATTGATCCTTCCATTATATTCCATATGAATTCAATTTTTAGGGGTAAAAATATATCTTGTTCAAGGGTATATTATATTTTAAATAGCCACTAATTAATGGGAATCGGGCTCACTCCAATACCATATATAATGCATCTTATCTCTCCCCTTAAGCTAATTGGAAAAGAGGCAATTGCTTAATAAAAAATCTTTTAATGGCCCTATTTATTCCCCAAGGTTTTAAGGATCTACAATGACAATATATTTAAATTTCATCCCATAATCATATGCACTACAATGGCATAGGTAAGCTTCTTTCATTTTTTTCAATTTTTCATTTCACTTAGCTGTAGATTAAATAAGTTCTTGTAAAGGAGCTTAGACTACATTTATTTTTTGGGTTATTCTCTTGTTTTTAAGGAGGCTCAAATCTTAAGCCAAGTAAAGTAGGCTAAACTCAACAAGTTGATTACAAGGATATTTAAATTTGCTACTAGAGTGGGAGTGGGAAGCACTTTTTTAAGGGGCACTAGAGAGTTCCTTTAAAGACTATCTTCACTATCTTTATTATATTTTTGGAACATCTTGCAATGCCCCCTTTCTTTAGGATATTATCACTTTGGGCTTTTACCCCACAACCTATATTAATATTTGGACTCTGACTTAGTCTCAAACTTGATTTTAAACTTGGTCTTGGACCCAATCTCGGATTAGAGTCTCGAACGTAGTCTCAAACTTGGTCTTAACCTTGGTTTCATCTAATAAATTCTATATGGTTTTTATCATGATTTTGAGGGATCTTTTAGTCTCCACACCCCATAGTGCCCCCTTTCTTTAGGATATTATCACTTCAGGCTTGTACCCCACAACCTATATTAGGGTGGTGGCATAGCATGAACACTGATATCAATGATGTTTTTCCAAACATTGAGTGTCATGAAAGCATTTCATGTGGTGTAGGATACATAGATGCAGTATGTATTAACTTGCAGGTAAAATTTTCTTCCTTACTCAGCTTTGCTTGGTTTACCAATTGGTTCCATATAGGACCTGTCTGTAAGCGACTAAATTTTCCATTCTACTTTAGTCACTTAACCACACCTTCGACCACTTGGAGGAGTCTCATTCACAACCTCCATCAGTCCAATTCAGGACTTGGGACTTGCTAGCCCCAAGAATGGCATCCATGCCACTCAACACTTGCACCTGGTCCAAGTGCTCCACGTGTCCGGTCCCAAGACCGACACCCAAAGGTACCACTGACATCTCGGCCCGTTACGCTAAGGCCATGCCCACCTTTGCTGCACTAGTGGTCCAATACCACTTGCATCACCATCCCGTCTCTCCAAGACTGGGCCCTCTGTCCACGAGTGGTCATCCTAGATCCACTCCTTAGCATCCTTAGGATGCCCACAGACCTAGGGAATCGCCTTCCCCAAAGTCCCTTTGTCAGTTCCTACCAAGTCCCTTTCTGCCCCTGGCCGTGTTTGCCAACACCGCCACTGGATCGAGGCCCACAGGCCCGACCACTAAGTCCCATGGTCCTCTGGGACTTCCTCACCACACGACTGTGTCCTTGGTCACTACCCCAGAGGACTGCTCCTCTTCCTTTCCACAATCTAGGCCTTTGGGACAACATTTTGGAACACCGTGGCCT